TCCTACGTGGGAATTGAGTAGCACTGGGTCTTGTGGGAGAGGCAAAATGCTGCTGGGGAGGAAGAAGAAGGGAGGATGAGCGTGAAGGGAGCGGGAATCTATATCTAGTGCCATCTTGGCTGCAAGACAACATCTGTCTCCCTAGCCCCATTGCTCACTGACTCTCCCACAACAGATGTGATCCCTGAGCTGAATGTCTTGGGCCAAAATGACTTGCCTCCTCCTATCCACCATCATTGTGGCCTGAGCTAGCCCCTCCGAGAGAGGTGCTTTGGGAGCTAAGGGCTCGCTAGGTGCCTAAGGGCATGGACAATCAGGACTCATGGTAGAGAGGATCTCTTTTATTAGACCAACAAGATTTTTGCAAAAAAAAAATTCTTTAAAGAATTATTTTTGCAATACTCTTGTTGGTTTAATAAAACAGATCACCTCTACTACAAGTCCTGATTGCCTTTTCCTCTAGACCAATACGACTACAATCTGGATACCTAAGGGCATGGATGAGGGTTAGACACCTTAGGGGCTGCTGTATCTAACCCAGTGTGAGCGGCTGCTTTTACACTCTGGAAATACTTTGCTCTTTCCAAGTGCTGCTCCGTACTCGGTATGGGACTCTGAGGAGAACAGGCTGTAGGGGCCTTTTCTCCTCCTCCCAAATCCCAGGTCACGGTCCCTGCCGTTCGGGGTGGAAGGAAACTGCAATGTGTCAGCGCGTGGAAGCAGCCAGCCCCACATCCCAGGAGCCCGCAGAAGCAACAGAGGAGCCTGAGCATCCTCAAAGCATCCTCATCCATGGGCCTGCAGCCTTTTTTTTCTCTAGTGGTGAGAAATGAGAGCTGTCCCTTCAGTGCAGGAGTCACCACTAGCACAGAGGGCCTTTCTTTAAGGGGTGTGAGCCCTGACCCTCAGCCTTGCTACTCCTGCCATTACCACTGTCTTCCTACCTTTCAGCTGCAGCTCTCCTCCACCCCTCCCTTTCTCCCCCAAACAGGGTAGGGGAGCAGGGCAATGCCAGCAGCATATTGCAACCCAACTGTCTGCCTCTGTTCAAGGTCACAGGGCAAGAGGGATCCAACAGGGCCAACTTGTCCATGCCATGTGGTGAACCAGATGGTCTTTGCTCCAGCCAACTCATGGCTGGGTCCATCCCACAACTTTACCCATTGCAAAGCATATTGGAAGAAGCTGCTCCAGGAGAGAGCACAGCAGGTGGGCAAAGCTGGAAACCAGACCATGGCTACCTACCCCTCTCATGGGACGAATTTGTAGGGCCTGGGTTTGAAGTAGGCAACACAAGTTGCAATACTGGTGTTTTGCCTATAAGTCCCAGCTCCTGAAGTCATGTAATCATAGGAGACCCTCTACTTCCATTTGTTTAAATGAGCTTCTAGCCCTCCTGGTTGCAGAGAAAATCTTGATCTTCTGAACCCTGTAGGCTCAAAACCAAAAAGCAAATTAGCACCCCTGGGTGTTGTAATTTTTTTTTATCAGTCTGATGATTTAAAGCCCATTTTTGCTGCCTGAGGCCTGACTCATGATTTCTGAATGCTTAACACTGGGAGCAAATCCCAGCTGTTCT